CGCTTAGGATCAAGTAGTGTCTGGACACAAGAGGCTAGGATCAGATGGTGTTAGGATGCAACACCCAAGAATCAGACGTTGTTATGATGCAACACCCGAGAATCAGACATTGTTATGATGCAACATCCAAGGATCAGAGATTGTTAGGATGCAAAACTGTAGAATTAGACATTGTCAGGGTGCACCTGGCATAGGGGTCCATGTCCGGATATTGTCAGGACGCACCAGGTGCACGACTCGAAGTCAGGACGGGACGTTGGTTCGACAGCATGTCCTGGTTAATGGTTATCATTACGGGCACCCTGTGCGTCTGATGAACAGGACACACGGGGCGCAAGATAATATTTTTGATGATGGTGGCAACGGAGCAGTGCTACCACCAATGATTATTCTTCTAGGCACTATATACCAAGAGCCATGGTATACGACAATCACTATACTGAATAATTACCTTGTGGGTACCTGTGAGACAGGGTACAACAATGATGAGTTGACAACCAAGTGGCTCAAACACTTCGAATGGCTTTCCTCAGAGCAGTAAGCAGGGTCATATCACCTCTTACTGCTTGTTGGCTTTGGATCTCATTCCACCAAACAGTTTCTTGATTACTGTGATGTGTATAGAATCATTGTTTTCTGCCTCCCCCCACATACTAGTCATCTCCTGCAACCATTAGATATTGTTGACTTTCAGCCATATAAGCACTATCATGCAAAGGTGGTTGAAGCTGCAACGTGTACAGGATGTGGTAATTTTGACAAATCAGAATTCTTAGATAAAATCGATTCAATATATCAGCAAACATTCAAGCAATCTACCAACTGATCTGCATTTCATACCTCCGCACTTATTCTATACAATCTAGAGGTTGTTATTGTGAAATTATGGGAGGCAGTTATCACTCCCAACCAATCAGCTTCACTGTCACTAGAGTCATCTCTCACCATCCCACTTATGATTGCTGGTCTGAAAAGACAAGGGGAAGAGTTGCTGCATGATACTGAAGATCTCGCACCTGCCTTGCAGAATAGGCTTAAACTTGTTTTGCAGGGTGGGTTGGCTCAAGTACAGTCAGGAGCATTTGTTATCGAGAACTTAGAGCATACTAAAGCTGCTGAAGTGGCAAGAAATGTGAGACGAAGAGCACAGAGTCAGAGGCAGGTGTAAAAAGGGGGGGTACTGTATGCATCTGAGGAACGAGAGATGGTAAAAAGAAGAGAGGATGACAAGGTGGAGAAAGCAGAGAGACAACTATGGTGAGCTGAGAGTGCAAGGAAAAAGACACTGGCAGGAGAACACAAGCCTTTTCTTGATGGAATGAAAGTATGTTTTAAACAGATACTTGCTGTTTGAGCTTATAGAAAAAAAATATCTTGGCTTATCATAGCTGTTATTAAATGGCAAGCAAGGTTGTGGAAAATAAATGCATAGTAGTAGCATATTTTATTAGGATAGTCTAGAGCTGGATCCCAGTGTTAAGTTAAGTGTGAAAATTATATTAAGTTAAAAGTTTGAGCCACAAAGTGAGGTTGAGCCACAAAATTCAGCCATAATATTACATTGAGCCACAAAGTTATGTTGAGCCGCAATGTTACATTGAGCTGTCAGGCACTTATAGAGTGCCCCAGGTTGTGGCTGGAAGCCACAACCTTGGCATGAGTACCTAGACCATTGATCACACAATGATCAAATGATATATATAGTATTATGAGCACTTCTTCAAGAATCACGTTTTACTCAGGAAATATCAACTATATTGCTTATCTTAGTAACCATGAAAGCAGGCATGCAGATGTCTTTTAAGCTACCATTAAGCATCCTAGTGACCTGTCAAGCAGTTATAGTAGTATCTAAGCCCTGGCAGTCACTATAGATTATTTTCCCTAAGTTCAATTTCTTGCATAATGTTGAAGGTAGGGTAACTCAGTCCTCTTACCTTAGAATTATGCTTCAGAGTCAATGTCATGTACTCTGATGTTAATCTGACAATATGTTTAATATCTTCACTGTTTTCTCAAGTATTAAAGAATGTATCTTTTGCCAAATCACCCTATTCATCTACTTATACCACTAGAAAGGTATTCCAGACTTCACCTATATAGGCTACTTCTTAGTACAACCTATAAGCTAAGGTCTAGTCCCATTATAGCTACCAATCTATGGGGTGTTTTATATAACTAACCTTTTCAGTAAGGTCTGTCCTGGACTATTAGTGACATCTTTTGTTTCCAGGTTTTCATACATCTACAACACAATAAACCCTTTGCTTAGATTGATACCATTTATGGAAATCAATTAGGACCTGCATGGCTATCCCATCAAGCATCTTGAAAGGTTGCTATAAATTTTCCTTAGGACTATAACCTTTCCCTGAAAATAAGTATTGGATAAGTCAGTAGTGAATGCTCATCTTCATCTCACTATACTAGCCAGTATCTAGGATAGCCTCAAAATAACTTCACTCATTGTCAACTATCTCTGGTACTGGAACCTTCTTCTGGGGCCTTCCTACTGGGTCATACTAATATGGCTCCAGTAGACTGATGTTGAATATGGGGTGGACTGACCAACAAGTTAAGTGTTCGAGTCTATATGCTTGGGACCCTACCTTTTGTTTGACTACAAAGGGACTGAATATTCAGCAGTCTAATTTCTCTATTGACCTTTGGTCTGAATATTGTTTCTATTCAACATAACGTGTTGCGCCTTTTTTGCTACTCATTGTCTACATCTTCCATTGTCCCCTATTCTGGATATAGCAACTGCTTTTGATGATGTCATTTATATTGCTTTTCTTGTACCTCTTATTAGGTTTCTCTGATTTCTTGCCAGAAACTGACCTAGTTCTATACTAATAGCTTACTGCTTAGATGAATTTCTAAGTTATGTGTGAATATGCCTGGCCAGTTCATATGAGGGTTGAATCCATAGTAAATCTCAAAGGGAAATGTTCTAGTAGACTTCAAAGTAGAAGTATTACATGCATACTCTATTAACTGTACCAGTGATACCCAATCATATTACTGATATGAGCAGTCACTCCTTAAATATTGTTCCAAGGTCTATTTCACCCTTTTAGTCTAACTTTGCCTATTAGTCTCTGGATGGAAAGCTATTGATATATTAAGCTTGATTTGCAGTAGCTTCATCAAACTTGTCCAAAAATTAGAGGTAAATTGGCTATGTCAGTCTGAGATAATTGATTCAGGAAGTTCATGCAGGTACCATATCTCTTTCAGGAATATTAATGTAAACCTTTCTATAGATACCTCTATTGTCAATGGTATGAAATGTACAATTTTCAAAAATCAATCAATAATAACCCATATCTTCATATACACCTCTGACTCTAGTAATGGGACAATGAGGTCTATAGCCATTGCTTTGTATGGTCTTACTGGCACCTCAATTAGTTCAAGTAATCCAAATGTCTTATGTTGAACTGCTTGACTTCTCTAGCATAGATTGTAACTTCACACATATTCTGTAATATGTTGATCTATCTTTTGCCATCAAAAGTTTACCTTGATCTCCCTAATTGTCTTATATGTCCTGAAGTAACCTGCCAGATAGGAATTATATTCAGCCTCCATAATCATCTATTTTAACAATTCATTCTTTATATATACAACTTATTTTTCTAGAATAGTAAGTACTTCTCAGTTGAAAAATTGGGGTCTACATCCTTTTACCAGTTGATGACTGACTTAAAGAGACTTAACTACTGGTTATCAATAGTAGCTACATTCCTAAGTACCTCTAAAAAGGAAGCTTGTAGCTGGTAAGCTTAGCAAGATTGCAACCCCTGTGGTCACAAGATCTCCTACTCCTCAACTATTGATGGTCTAGGATGGCAAAAGTCATTCTTGAGGTTAGTATGAGAATTACTTCCCTTATCAAGGCAGTAGTCCCTACTCCTTGACAATATATCAGCCTTCTCCTTCAACCTCCCTTCACAGAAAATAACCTTGAAGTTGAATAGCTGCAACAACATTACCCAGTAGTGTTGCCATCTATTCAGGATCTTAGTACTATTAAAGTACTTAAGATTCTTATGATCAGTATAAAGAACAATCTAATCAGCACCCAAACTCCACAAATGATCCTATTTCTTAAATGCTACAACATTTGTGGTCATTTCTATATTATGGATATAATATTTTACCTTCACTGGTAGGCATTGCCTACTATGATAGGCCACTAGGTACCATTTACTCTTTGTAAACAATTGAGATAATAATATAATAGGGTGAAAAAGCTGAAAAGAAAATAGATCTCAAGCATTGACTAGCTATATACTAGTACAATTCATCGAGTATTTCACAACACCATATATCACGATACTGTATAACTCGGTATGTCATCAAGTACATTGTTGCAATTATATGAATGAATTGCTATTGACTGGAAGTCTGCAAAGCAAACTTCAATAATGGAGTTCACAGAAGTACCAAAAGAGTTGTGTGAGAAAATGGCTTTTGAAATGCTCAAGAATAAGGTGGTGAAAACAGAAAGTGAAGCTTTCAAAGCAGTTGATATTCCACATAGTACATTAAACCATTGAAAGGTAAGCCTCTAGGTCAGAAATTATGTATTAGACTATACTAATAGATACAAACAAGAATAGATGACTGGAATTAAAAGCTAAATGAGAAAACCAGTAACAGATGACTACAATTGAGGAACAAGTATTGATAGATCATGCCTTCAAGCTGAAACAATTGTGATTCCCACCCAAGATCTACAAATCTATTGACATAGGTAATTTCATATATCAACAAGACATTCCAGAGGGGAGATTAGGTCATGGCTAGCTGTAAGGATTTTATGAATGTTATCCTAATATCGAAACACAATATAGTAGGCTAATGGACTATGTCTGAGTAGTTCAAGGAAGTAATTTGGATTCAATTACCAAATTTTTTGAGTTGGTATAACTACCTACTATTGCTTATTACTCATATTTTAATCAGATTATTATTAACATAAAAGAATATTGTATAACAAAGTGGTTCAAGAGTATCAAGTCTTACAACAAAATACGTACAACCTTGATGAGATTGGTTTTGTAATGGGATGTATTGCAACAGAGAAAGTTGTAAATGTTATCAATCAACCAAGAAGAGGTGGAAAGCTCTTTACCAACCAGCTGGGAAACTGAGAATTTGTAACAGTTATTGAAGGAATCTATGCAGATGGGACAGTATTAGATCCAATGATCATATTTAAGGCAAAGCATTTTCATGAAGAGTGGTTTGAAGACCTATGCAATGTGCCACAAAATCTGTTTTTTGGAAAATCACCCAATGGCTGGCCTGACAGAAAAATAAGCCTTCGATAGCTTGAAGCAAACTTCGGTCCCAGTAGCATAACTGCAGATAAGTCAGGAGCAAGATATAGAATACTGCTATTCGATGGACACAATTCACATGTTAATATCAGTTTCCTTGAGTACTGTATTAACAATAAAGTTATACCAATTTACTTACCTCCTCATATGAGTCACTGCCTTCAACCTCTTGATGTCTCAGTATTTAGCACCTACAAACATGCTTATCATGCAGAACTACAAGAACAATTTGAGAGTCATGCCTGTGGTGTTGGAAAATAGATCTTCTATCAGATAATTAGGAAGGTTTGGCCCATTGCTCTCAACTCTAAGAATATTAGAAGTGGGTTTTCGTATGCTGGGATTATACCTTCGGATGTTACTATAATTTTAGATCAACTCCAAAATGAACAAAATGTGAAAGATGAAAGGATTTCATACAACTATACCACAATTTCACCAACTCATAAACTTTCAGACCTTGACATATCAGATGTTTTCAACATTCATGCACCACAAAAACCTCATCAATTGACAAATCAAGCAAACAGTATCTTCCAAGACATGCCACCAAGTTTACCAAGAAATTGGTACTGCTGTCATTTAATGAAAAGAATTATAAACAGTGCAGAATGAGGAATGGTAGACAATTCAATGAAACCGCAGAGAATCAAATCCTGGGAAAAGGAACTCCAAGATCTTTGTGACAAGAAAAAGCAGAGTCGAAAAATCATTTCAGATTATGGGGCCAGCTTCTTAAGTTGAGATGAGATTGTTGAATTCTTCAAACCCCAAGAGGCAGAGAAGAGTCAAAAGCATAAAAGGGATATTGAGGAATGCAGAAAGAAGCAAGATATCCTTATGGCCAAAATTAACAACCAGACAAATAAAAACAACAAGCTATGTGAGTTAGAAGAAAGGAATCAGTTACTGAAATGTTGTATAATATCAACTTAATTAAGTGTTGAATTGGTCGAGCTTGAAAGGAAACTTAGTGATGTGAAGAAAAAACTTATGGAAGCGAAGGGGGCTAGACAAGAAAGTTGTGTGGATAGTAGCAGTAGTGATATGGGGTCTCCTGTATCTCTTGATTTTGGAGAGGCAATCAATGAGAGAGTTTAATGTTTGTTTTTGGTCAAAGTGGTTATGCGTGTTTTTCACAAACATAATTTTCTTTCACTTTTTTCTTTTGCTTTGTTCTCTGCCTCAACCTACTTTCTTGTTAGCCTCTATTCTTCTGGATTTTCAGTGGAAATAAATATTTACCATCTCATTTTAAATGTGTTTTAAATAGGAAAGGTCAAGGTGAAGATTGCTGGTTGTTGAAAGGTGTCAAAGGGAAGAGGTGTGGAGTCAGGGGTGCAAAAGAGGATAATACTTAGTTATCATAGGTAAATATTCTTAGAGGTAAAGCTTGGCAATCACACTTACAGTGCTTGGCACTTTCTTACTAAGTAAAATATTGATAGGGGTGCAATCTTGGCAGGGGTGCAAGTATGTTACCAATTATCCCAATTGTCTTTTGATCCCAGGCCCTTTGAGGGTGTTTTGCATCATTACCCAACTGTCACTTCTGATCTACACATAGGTAAAGGGTTGAAAATTCTGAGTAGTTTCTACTTGAATTACACTATATTTTACTTCAGGGAATTAGAGGACATTTATAAAGAGAACCTGGTGTTGGAATAGCCCTGGACATAGTCATATTGGAGTGATCGCATTTCCTATGTAAGGTGTGAGACTCCCCACACATATCACATGTGAATGTTGAACATTTCAGTTGACTCGAGACCTTCAAAACCATTAAGATTGTGGTAAAGCGGTTGCACCCTCAGGGAGACTGCACAACTTTCTCAACTTTTATAGGTTAGGGTTCTTGCTAGGGACAGGGGGATCACCCAATCAATGCCCTTTGTTGCTTTCTCACAATAGCTTCAAAGTCTTTATTCAGCCCTTGGGAGATTCATTGGTTTATCGATACCCCTTAGGAACCATCCTTTATTGGCCCATTTAGCTACTATTTGTCCATCGAGGGCACCCTCACCCACAACCACATTCCTTTTTGCTTTTACAGATGGCTGGGACTACAGTTTACAGTTTGAAGAGTCTCTTGAGTCCTGAGTCTATACCTTCTCTATCAACACTGCCTAGTACAGACACAAACACAATTGCAACAGACTTTCATTCTTTTTTGTGCTTTCTTGGGACCCATAAACCTCACTGCCCTTTGGCATGTAAGACCTAGGGGTTGAGCTTTTTGTTTCCCCTAGATATCCATTGTAAGTCCTGGGCAGCCCCCAGGCAGCCCCAAAGTTCTGACTTTTGCTGGCCATCAGAAGTCCTTGCCTTCCAGGTGAGCATTGGGTGGTGGGGACCTGTAGACACCCAAAATTACCTCCCACACCTTGGAACTTCTTCAGCCATTTACCTAGCTCCCTTGGTGTGGTTGCATGATGTCGGAAGTCCTAGCTTACCCACAGGCAAACTATCTTTGGGGATTGGTAGTAGCTGTCTTTTCTAGGTAGAAAAGGAGAGGAGGTCTAGAGGTGTTATTTGGGTTCTGAGCCACTGGTTGTAATGACTGTTGTTGCATTTGGAGCCGAGTCTATACATCCATGTACCTGCCGAGTGTGGTGGAGCCCCTGAGGAGGAGGACTGAACTTGTAGGTATACTGTGAGGGGTGGTTGGCTGCCAGAGAGAGTTTCTTTTGTGATGGAGTGGTTGCAGGATGACAGGCTGGTCACTAATGATGTATTTGTGGTAGGTGGCAAGGAGGTGGATTTCTTTGAGGGAGCCCTTGACTGGGAGGAGTATATTAAGCTAGTTTAGCTAGATTATGATTCAGTTTGTAGAAATGGGGCATACCCCCAGGCTTAGGAAGAATGAAAATCAGGTTTCAGATTGCACACTTGGTGAGATTTGTATGAGTAAGCAAATGCCAAGTTTTTCTTTTTTGCAGATCGGTCACTCCTAACCTACATGAGATAATTTTACACTCTGATGTCAGACTGAATTTACTATTTTCATACAATTACCTCAAACCTACATATGTCTTGCCACATTATTATGTCAGGATCTTGCTGAGGGTGCAATCTTGAACCTTATTTTCATTCTTTCAAGCCCAAAGGTAAGCTCTGTTTCTACAAACTTAATCATAATCTAGCTGACTAGCATGAGATACTCCCCCCAGCCAAGAGCCCCCTGAAAGAAATCTACCTCCTAGCCACCTGCCACAAATGCATCATTAACAGCATGTCTGCTGCCTCGCTAACCCTCCAACATAAATGAAACCCTCCCCAGTAGCCCACTACCTCCTCCAGCATATCCACAGGTTCAATCCTCCTCCTCAGGTATTCTGCCACACTTAGCGAGTATACAGGGTCATAGCCCATGGGGCACAGTCCAAGCAGGCTGCTCAAAACCATAGTCAGCACACCAATGGATGACAGCTTGAGACCTCCCCTCCTTCTCTATGTGAAAAATACAGCCGCCACAAATCCCCAAAAGCAGGTTTTGTGGGTGTAAGACAGGGCTTCCAAAAATGTGTAACCACACCAAGGCCACCTGATAAATCAGCTGGAAGTTCCCGGTATGGTGAATGATTTTGGGGGTCAAAGCCATTCCCTGCAAAGTGGGAAGCTAAAGACCCCCCTCGATTTAGAATTGCCTAGGAGTTGCCCAGGACTTACGATAGTTACCTAGGAGAAATAACACACTCAACTCCTAGGTCATATGTGCCAAAGGAGGGTAGGGGTTCCTTTAAAAAGGATACTGGAACAAATGCTAAAAAGAATGAAAGGCTATCAGAATTGTGTTTGTGTCTGTACTGAGCTGTGTTGACAAAGAAGGTATGGACTTGAGCCTCAAGAGGCTCCTCAAACTGTGAGCTGTAGTCCCAGCTGTCTGCCAGCGCAAAAAAACAATGTGGTTCCAGGTTGGGGTGCCTTTGGTAGGCGAGTGTGCTGAGGCCTCTAAGGGCATCTAGGGGCCATATCAATAGCCAAACAAAAGAAAGCAAGCTGAGTAGCATTGAAAACAATGAATCATCCAAGATAAGGATAAAGACTTTGAAGCCATCATGAAAATCACTCAAAGGGTATTGATTGGGTGAACCCCCCTGTATCCCCAAACGAGCCCCAACCCACAAATGTGAGAAAAGGGTGCAATCTTGCTGAGGGTGCAATGGCTTTATAAAAAGAAAAAAACCCATTACAGTATTGGCTTTCCCAAACTCCCCTTGGTCCCTCCCTTCCCCCAAGGAGCAAACAACCAAGTCCCAGACATTTACCCACACTATCCCCTATCAGCAAGAAGAAATGCCTCCGCGGCCTACTCCTTAAGTGCCCAAGACAATCAGCCATAAATGCAATTTCAAGCACCAGTTGCGCAAGATTGACTTACCGTATTCGAAGTAAAACGTTGCCTTATTGTATAAAAGGCCACACATCAAAAGCATACCGTCCAAGATCCTGTGCAGTGAGAATGATATTCCCCTCTCGTTGGTGAGGTTGGCGAAGGAAGATTTTGTCGAAGTCCAGCGTCAATGGAGCTCCGGTAACAACAGGTGCAGGACCAGCAGGGGCGGGAACAGCAGGTGCAAGAGCAACAAGTCCAGCGATGTCGACCTCGTGGACTTTTGTTGGTCTAGTGACAAAATCATGAGGGTTGCCTCGTATCCGTTGTGGATTCTGCACGGTGGCTATTTCCCATTGCTCGATGTGAATTCTTCGGGCTGGTTTGGAGACAGAAATGAGAAAAACGATTTTCACCTCTCCTAAAGAGTTAACCAACCACCAGCGAGAATCAACCTTCAAATGTCTAATGGATTCAGAAATGCCACATTCGATGACCATGGTAGGCCAATTAGATTCGAGAGGGTGAGACGAATGTTTGAATGCTGTATCCGGTTCCTTTCGGCTTGACACGCCCTGAAATGTTCTACCACCTACATCACGAAGCTCGTGCCCCAGACCCATCATTGCTGCCTTCTCCCTGCACATATATGCAAACTCCCTGTGAAATAATTCGTGCAGTTCACTTAGCATGATTTTGGCAATTAATGCCTGTTCGTGATTGAGGTACATAAAGCGGAGCCCTTTGTGGTGGGTGTTGCGAAGATGACCGATCGTTTTAAGCTTGTC